TGCTGCTGCTGCTGCCTGCATCAATCTCCCTCGTGCTGCAGTCAGCTGCACTGCAGCAGCAAAAGATAAACCACCAGAAAAACACAAAGCAGTGTATTCCCCCAAAGACAAACCCGCACAGTAATCAAACTCAACAGCCTGCATACACACATATTTTTTTTTTATTTTATCTAGGGTTTAGGGTTTAGGGTTTAGGGTTTAGCGTTGAGGGTTTGGGGTTTTGGGTTTGGGTTGGGGGGCGAGGGGAGAAAACGGGAGGAAACGGAATCATTTGAGGGTTTAGGGTTTAGGGTTTAGGGTTTATGTGTCTGGGTGGCTATACACCTCGTGTATAAAAAAAGAAGAGCAGGGTTTAGGGTTTAGGGTTTAGGGTTTGCATATAATACCTCTTTCTGTGCGTCTCTGCGTCAGTTTTAAAAAAGGGTTTAGGGTTTAGGGTTTAGGGTTTAGGGTTTGTGTATAATACCTCTTTCTGTGTATCTCTCCAGTGTGTATAAAAAGGGTTTAGGGTTTAGGGTTTAGTGTATGAGTATAATACCTTTTCCTGTGCGTCTCGGCGCCATTTAGGGTTTAGGGTTTAGGGTTTAGGGTTTAGGGTTTATGTATAATACCTCTTTCTGTGTATCTCGCCAGTGTGTATAAATAGCGAGAGAAGCAACAAGCAGAGCAGGCCGTGCTATCTCTGTTTTATTTAGGGTTTAGGGTTTAGGGTTTAGGGTTTAGGGTATGAGTATAATACCTTTTTCTGTGCGTCTCGGCGCCATTTAGGGTTTAGGGTTTAGGGTTTAGGGTTTAGGGTTTATGTATAATACCTCTTTCTGTGTATCTCGCCAGTGTGTATAAATAGCGAGAGAAGCAACAAGCAGAGCAGGCTGTGCTATCTCTAGGGTTTAGGGTTTAGGGTTTAGGGTTTAGGATATGAGTATAATACCTTTTCCTGTGCGTCTCTGCGCCATTTAGGGTTTAGGGTTTAGGGTTTAGGGTTTGCATATAATACCTCTTTTTGTGTATCTCGCCAGTGTGTATAAATAGCGAGAGAAGCAACAAGCAGAGCAGGCTGTGCTATTTCTGTTTTATTTATTTTTTCTTTGGGCCCCTCAGCCACAAGCTTAAATAAATTAAACCCTAAACCCTCAGAAGCCTCCTCAAACAACTCCATCGAGGGTTTGTGTTTACGCGCGCATTCTATACCCATACCTACACATATTTTTTTATACACACACTAGGGTTTAGGGTTTAGGGTTTAGGGTTTAGGGTTTAGGGTTTAGGGTTTGGGGGGAGGGGGGAGGGGAGGGAGGAGCGAAACGGGTTCTAATGATGTATGGGTTTGCTAGGGTTTAGGGTTTAGGGTTTAGGGTTTAGGATTAGGGTTTAGGGTTTACGGTTCAGCTGTATGGTTTATGTTCTAGGGTTTAGGGTTTAGGGTTATGGGTGTATGCTCTAGGGTTTAGGGTTTAGGGTTTGAGGTGTATATACTAAACCCTAAACCCTAAACCCTAAACCCTAAACCCTAAACCCTAAACCCTAGGACCTACCTACACACTGAGCTCCTTGCCCAGGGAAGAGTGCTGCGCGTTTTATTGGTGTTCCTTCTGCTGCTGCTGCTGCTGCTGCTGCTGTTGCTGCTGCTGCTGCCTTTGTTGCTGCTGCTCTTGCAGCTCGTTTGTGCTGCGCTGCTGTTGCTGCTGCTGCTGCTGCTGTTGCTGCTGCTGCTGCTCCTGCTGCTGCTGCTGCAGGGGGCTGGAAGGCTAGCATTGAGGGTTTAGGGTTTAGACGCAGAGAGACAGAGAGAACGGGAGAGAGAAGAGAAAGAAAGAAAAAAAAATAAATATTAAAACCCTTCATTTCCTAAACCCTAAACCCTAAACCCTAAACCCTAAACCCTAAACCCTAATAAATAGAAGACACGATCCCGTAGAGTGGCTTGAGTGCTGGGGTGTATACAAATTCAAATTATCTAAACCCTAAACCCTAAACCCTAAACCCTAAACCCTAATTACTAAACCCTAAACCCTAAACCCTAAACCCTAATGTGTAAAATAAAAAAAAAAGATCGAGACAGAAAACACCCCCCAGCAGCAGCTAGAGACAGCCAGCTGCTGCTGCGTGCAGCAGCCGTTGAGGGTTTAGGGTTTAGGGTTTAGGGTTTAGGGTTTAGGGCGTGCAGAGAAAGTTTTTTTTTATGGGTGTTGTTCATCAGTTTATTTATTTTCTTATTTTTATTATTTAATACGAGTTCTTTG